ATACCATTTACAGTATCTTCTTGATATTTTCTATTCTATATTTCTATCATTGACCTTCTACTTTCCTCCTATTTTGTATATACTCTTAATATTTAAATGTTTTCATAAAATATAACACATTCAAAAGTGCTTTACAAAAATGAAAGACTTTAAGAAAAAGGCATTTTAAAACAGTCATTAAAAAGCAACACAATCTACCTGCATTGCAATACTCTAAACGTGTAATAACGTGCTTTAACCAGTAGGAGGTGCGGGTTAAAAAACTGTCAAGTTTACAGTGTTAACAAAATAAAATATACTGCTGTTTCTGGTTTAGTTTACGACGGATATATTCTGTTATTGTTTTGATATTTGTAACACAAATGCGAAGTAAAAAACCCACAGCAACACAGAAAAGATGGTCTTAACATGACCCAGCGGTCTAGTAGTTAATAAAAAACAATAATATCAAAACAAATTATTACTACTAACTTTATTGTGAAATTAAAACAGAACGGTAAAAGAATAGTTTCCGGTCTATTCTGAGGCCCGATCTCTGTAGATAAATAAAGAACTACGACAGATGTGTAATATTTAATGCAGCCAAACCATTCATTACAATGCATTCATGTGATGACTTTCAAAGAGTAAAGCAAGCACTGCTGAATAAAGTATGATTTTATCTTTTCCGAAACGTTTTTTTTCATATGGAATGCAGTTGGAGGTCAACCAATCACAGAGCTTGAGGCAAAGCGGACCAATAGCTGAGGATTCTGGGTAGTGTAGTGTCTTCGGCCATCCTAAACTCTGAACAAATATTTGTTTCTCCGAATCGAAGGGGAAAATTACAAAAGCATTGTACACAATTTAAACCAATCAATGTTGTGTAATTAACAAGGATAATCTGGTGTTTTTGAGTTGATGAGTAGTGCAGATATCACTGTAAAATCAATCGACAGTAAGGAGAATACTTACTTCCGGGTGTAAAATCCTCCGTTATCCAATGGGAATGGACGCTCACATTGCTCTCTGCGTCCGTAATACAATAAAGGGGACATGATCAAATAGGAATATAATTATCTTTTAAATAACGTTAACTAAAGGGAACAATCTATTTGACACAGCTGAAGCTCTGGCCTTCCTTAAAAACTAACTAATTTAATACAAATCACAGTTGTATTACACACAATGCACAACAAAAATTCGTAACTAATGCACCATAATACATTCTGACGAAAAATAAAAATGATTATGAATACAAATAAAATAAAAGAAGCCTCCCGTGAGTTACTACAAGCTATAAAGTAGATTTTAAAAACGTTTTATAGAATAAAAGCTCACTGCTGGACGTTGTAGAAATGCGTGTGTGCACCACGACAAAGGAGCCTCATTCACTTTACATTGGGGTTGTTTGCGTGGGGCAGACACGTAAATGTAGCAAAGTTCGTGACTCCACCACGCACTGCGGTGTTAAGGAGTCGTGGTGGAGTCACGCATTCTGGTGAGACCAGGTTGACAGGAGTTTATTCTCCCGTTAACTCACAGCAGCGGCCGCTGTAAAGTATTCACTGTCCGACTGTCACACAAGCATGCTGATACATATCCCCAATTCCCCATAAGTGAATGTGTGTCAGTCTGAATTGACGCTGGCATCACATCACAGCGTTTGGCATCACAACGCTGTTATGAAAGTTTCTCTGGTATAAAATGGGTGATGTTAGCATAGCCGTTTTCTACAGGCACATTTTACCGGCGTATTTTTCATTATGATTCTACTTGTGATAGTCGGACATGACAACCTGTGCAGCCCATGTATTGATTCCATCCGATAGCTGCTATAATACAAAACAAAACGTCTGCCTGCTCTCCACAATGATCAATAACAGCGAACGGATGATCAAAGTAAGGCACAAATAAACAGAATCACACGAAGCCTGGTTATTGTTGCCTGACTTTATAAAGTGTGTTTTTTTGTATAAGTGTGTGGTTGCGTTCTAGTCACTTTGCTCAGCACTACTGCTTGTTACAACTTTTATTTGCCGTACTCGCCTTTAACTGTTAGCTCAGGTCAATCTCGCCCCCCTCCGACGTAAGCGTGACGTATGCGGTTCTTGTTTCTAGGCCGACAATTTTTTGGTGCTTGAAACTAACCGGATTCTGGAGCTTAGAGGCGGCTAATAATTCGAAAATTATAAAAGTACAGTAGGGTAGACATGTGGATATTATCCGGCTGAACAAAACGTGATCTGTCTCTTCAATTTGTGTCAACCACAGAACAGGAAAAACCGGTGCTTTTCAGGCTCTAGCTCCGAACCGGCCCTGGAACCGCGTTGGTGTGAAAGGGGCATCAGCTGCTGCAGTCTTGATGGCTCATCTTTATCAAGGGTGCTTGTAATTGCGAAAGGTACAGCACATTATGTCACTTTTAAGTTATTCTCTAATGTCATTCTGTCACGATCTGTCTGTGTTGTGTTTTGTCTTGTCTAGATCTGTCTTTGATTTCCTGATTGTGTTCACCTTGTGCACCTGTGTTTTCTCCTCCCTCCTCACCTGTCTCTTGTTTCTTTGATTAGTCCTGTGTGCATTTAGGTTCGTTTTTTCCTGTAAGTCTTTGTGATATCCTTGTTTGTTTTTGACTGTGTTCACGGAGAAGAGCTCTGTATTTTCCTTGTAGCCTTTAAATAAAGGTATTTTCTGTTAAATCTGCATTTGGGTCCTGCCTGCTTCGCTCAACCTTGACACATTCTCTTGTGGTTTTTTTTTTGGCTACTCCTGCAAAGTGTTATTACTCACTGAGTTATAACAAATAACAAATAATTCAGGTTAAGAAAAACCAACAGCTTTCACAATCATACAGATTTTCTCACTAAGTCTGACTCATTGCTTTTATTGTCACTACTTTCTCACGGTAGCATTAACAGGGATCATCTTAGTAAATGCAATGTTATTATTATAAGCTTGAATTGGAATAACAAAGGTGCCAGTACTCTAAATCAGCAACTGTTTCAAGTCAATTTATTTATACAGCCCAAAAACAAGAATTTGGCTCGAAGTCATAGTATATCCTATAATGCTGGTTAGTTTGTCTCTTTACTGTATATTTTAGAAAGGCTCATTGTACTTAAACAAAATGACTCAGGGTGCATCTGAGCTTAGAGGGGGTGCAGGGGTAAAGTGCTATTTTTATAAGTGGGGAGTGGATCTAACACAAGATATTTTTAAATATTGAAGTTAAATGCATCGATCTGGTGCACTTTGAGAGCAAAATTAAGAGATTTATGGATACATCTCTCAACATCCATATGAAACAGAACTGTAAACAGATTTACTATTTCTTTATGGATATTTTACAAATCACTCCCCTTTTAAACTCTATTCTTGTTTTACTGTCATGTAGTATTTCATTTTTAGTGAGTTACTCAGATGAGTACCAGGAGACAGCGTTTGGTAGCCTACTCTGGTACAATTGTGGTGAAGGCATCTGAGTTAGATGTATTTGAACCGAAATGTCTACAGGCATAGCAGAAGCATCTTTTTTACAGGAAATTCCAGCCAATCTCTGTTTTTAAACCATGAGCTGCAAAATGAGCGCCTTACCCCACTGTACAGGCGAACTTGTTTAAATATACCTGGGCAGGCTCTGTTTTGCCGAGGTCCTCTGGCACTTGCGGGCCGCCGAGGTGTTTGGGGCGACGAAGACTGTTGCTCCGGGGGCGAGGCGGACAAATCGGCGGCGGCACCTCATGACGCATCTACTGAGTACCGCCGTACCGGCACCATGCCGGTAAGAAGTAAGAAGTAACGGTACCAGATGGGTAAAAATCAGAAGTCCCGGTACTGCGTACCGGTGAGTACCGGCCCAATTCAAGCACTGATTATAAAAGAAAACCAAACCGATTGGTTAAGTTAACAGACTCACAGCTCAGTTCAACCTTGACCTTATTATAACTTGGGCATGCATACATACATTATTGAATACATTTTGGGTGTACTCAATTTCAATTAAACTTGCAAAAACAGGTGATACTTTTGCTTGATTTTTAAACTCTGTGATTCAGATGTATAGTAATGACATTGTGTAAACAAATAGCAGCAATTAACAATGTGAAGTAATACTTATAAAAGCCTTTTGCTGGATGAATTAAATAAACTTATTTACAGATTTGTAACTTTATACATCATGAAAAGCAAAACATTGCAAAAAAAACCTGTCTTTATACAGGGAAATAGGTGTAAGTGTATTCATAGGTAGGGAAAATATGTTTCTCCAGGTATTACAATTCATTAAACAAATAGTTTAACAATTGATACACAGAGGTGGTTCATGGAACGTAGAGAACATTTGTTCACATTGTAAAAAAATACCAACCTGGCTGTGTAAGTCAACTAAAGGAAACATGAGTAACGGAGCTTACACACGGCGGCGTGCGTTGAAGCTTGCCGGCGGGTATGTCTGAAGCTAGACCAACAACCAATCACCTGAATCTCCTGCCCCAGACACACAAGCAGTGGTTTGATTGGCTAGAGCTTGTACTGGCATATGATTCGATTGGCTGACGCTTCCGTCGAAGCTTCAAAAGTAGAACAATGTTCTTCTACTTCTACAAAGCTACGCTTTGCTCCCACAATGCAGTTCGGCGAAGCGTGACGTCACCCCATTCAATGTGAATGGGCAGAAGCGTTGAAGCTTCAACGCACGCCGCCGTGTGTAAGCTCTGTAACAATGACAGAGACAAGAGAATAAATAAATAGTTAAAAAAATATAGGGTTTATTTTTCGGAACACATTAAAATATAAAAAATATAATAAAGAAAGTAAGATCAACAGCATTTGACAATACACAGAAACACATATCCACAGACATGCACACAGAGTGCCACAGTGATGCATCCTAAAACCCGGAAGTAAATTCCTTCCGGTTCCTTCGACAAAAACCAATGCAATTTCTCCATAGGATTTTTTACTTTTATCATGATAAAAAGAAAATGAGGACATGTGGATATTATCCGGCTGAACAAAACGTGATCTGTCTCTTCAATTTGTGTCAACCACAGACCTTATTTCGAGCTATTTTCCAAAACATGGGGAACATGACTAATAAGTTCATTATGTGAAAGTAAGTAAACAAAAACAACAGCTTCTAAGAAATGTCCTTCAGAACAGACAACTGAGGTCCAACACTACTCATCCGGGTTGAGTTTGTGCATGAGGTTTTAACGGACGATCTTCTGGTAGATCTCCACTGTTTAAAGAGTCCCCTCACTTTTTGCCGAAATTGCTGTCCTACAATGACGTAGAGGATGGGGTTGAGAACACTGTTGAAGAAGGCGAGGTACATGAAGACATGGCCGCAGATGTTAAGGGCGTACTCAAGGCTACACCCTGTCAGGACTTCAGCTTCTTGCAGCAAAAGTAATATCTTTGTCACGTGGAATGGCATCCAGCAGATCATAAACGCCAGGAGGACCGCCAGCACCAGAGTGGTGGCCTTTTGCTCCTTCTTCTGGCTGTTTAACCCCTCAAATATCCGGTTGTTCAGAGCTTGAAGAATATCTATAGTACAGTAGAAGATGATGAAAAAGGGGATGATGAAGCTGAATGTAAACTGCATCACATCAAACACAGCCCTTTCAGTGAGATTTCGGAAAACCAAATAGCATATATTAGATTGCATTTCAGGGAAATATTTCACTTCCCTGAAGACAAGTGTGGGGACACTTAGGAGCAAGCCGAAACCCCACACCAGCACACAGCCCAGTTTGGCATATTTTGGCCTAGATATTCCTTTATGGGACAGAGGGTCCGCCAGTGCCATGCGACGATCTATGCTTATCAAAACGAGGAAGTAGATGCTAGAGTAGGCGTTCATGCTGATGCTAAAGTTGACCAGTCGGCACAGGTGATGAGAAAAGGGCCATTTGAATTGGTTGGCTGCATTCACAGCCCAGAAGGGCAGACAGGACGTCAGGATCAGGTCAGCAGCAGCTATGTTGCTTAAGTAGATCTCAGCCACGGTACAGGACTTCTTATGAAGACAGAAAACCCCGAGGACAAACACATTCAACACAATTCCCAGCACAGCGACGAGCAGGATATACACCGGCAGCACAGAGATGTGCCAAAAATGTGGTTTGTCACTATCACACTGACTCCCATTCATGTTGTTTTGCTCTCCATTTATAGCCGTAGTGTTGAAGTTAGCGAGGATGCTGTGGAAGTAAGAGGAAGGCAAACAAAATGTTTAAACAAACACTAATTCAAGGTGGCTTCAACATTTGCTTTGAGTTAATGCTTGAATACACAGTTACACTGAACAATGGTTGTATTCCAAGTTTAATGCAGGTGCCAGACTAGTTTATGATGAATAAAAAGGGTGACAAAATAATAATAAGGATGTTATACATGTATGTTTATATATAACAGGTCCGCTGCAACTCTTACTACTTTTAAATCCAGGCTGAAGACTTTTCTTTTTGCCGCTGCTTTTAATTGAACTATTCATATCTTAAACTGCACTGTAACTTTTATCCATGTATTTTTTTTTATCTTTTACTTTTAATGACTGATTTTAAATGCCATTTTCTTAATGTCTTCCATTTTTGTAAAGCACTTTGAATTGCCTTGTGTTGAAAGGTGCTATATAAATAAACTTGCCTTGCCTTGTCTTGCCTATAAGCAAAACAAAAAGTTGTGAAATGTTTTTATGAATAACTTTTATTACAGGCTTTTTATTTCTCTCCCCACGACAACTTGATGGGCTTTTATCCGGTTATAACTTGTGTGAATATGCAATTAATTCTGTGGAATTTTCTAGCATATCTTGAATTCAAGCAAACATGCTCTGACAGGTTCACTCTGATCTTCAAAATGAATTTGGCTCTCACAAAGCAAACAAAGGGATGCACTTGCCCTCTTGGGATTGTTCACTTCGATATTTGTATATGCAGATTAAGGGTAAAAAAGTATACATTAGCAGAAATTCGAAATACTCAAGTAAAGTACAAGTACCATGATTTTAATACAGTAGTTGAGTAAATGTCCAAACCTGCCACCACTAATTTACTATTTTAAATGTTTTCAATATAAATGCATCAAGAGTAATTCTAAAATGCATCAACATAGTACACACCTCACCATCATCTAACATCTAACTACATGTTGAGACATGCAGTTAGAGAACTGTTAATTTATTGGAAGAAACATGTATACTGTCTTCCATTTTAACAGACTGTGTCTAAATGTGGTGCCGATATTACACTATTTTCAGTTTCAGATCACTTTCATGCAGTAAAGTACATTTATAGGATGAGTCTGTATCTTGCAAAACACAACACATTACAGATGTTACTTATTTACCCCCTCAGGATTATAAAATAACCCCACCACCCCAGCAACCATCTGTTCTGTCTACTGCGGTCTGGCAGGCAGTATCCAGACTCAAATCACCAGTCTAAGGGACAGTTTCATCCCACAGGTCACAAGACTGACACCTGAACTTTTGAAAGAACATCCATAACATTCATCTGTTTGCAACTTATATTGATCAATATTCCAATGACTTGTATATAGACTATTCTGCACTATTTCTATTATATTCTATTGTATTTGTATCTGTAACCTAAGATTTTCATTGTCATACACTGTAGCTATGTACAAATGACAATAAAAGCCTTGATCCTTGAACCTTATTTATAACCCATGCTAACATTCAAACTACAGTCAATCGTGGTAAAACATTAAGAAAGTAATATGCAAACCACATGAATGTCAATGCCTACCTTGTGGACAGAAGAGCCATTCTTCTTCTTGTGCAGATGCACTGTTTCAATACTTTGTTTCACTGAGGTCTGCCTCTGACACGCTCTCCGAAAGAGAAAGGCAACCAATGGAAAATGATGTCAGGCAGACTCCTTAATGTTTGCAAGCTGTTGAGACCCCGCCTTCATATTACATTACATTGCATTTAGCTGACGCTGATGTGCATTCGACCAAGAAGATACAAACTTGAAGAAAACAGAATCATATAATCAGGTTTCATAGAGCCAAAATATTTCAAGTGCTACTCAACTAGCTTTAGATATTTATATTCAACTTTGTTTCTAATATGGTCACAGATATTTTGAGCATTAAATTAAGGTCAAGATTGTTTTTTATATACTTGACCTGTATGTTAGAGTTTTTAAACTACATTCAACTCTTTACTAATAAAGAAATACAATATAGTATCTCTGAAATACATTTTCAAAAACTGTTTTACATTAAGAAAAAGCCAGAAAACAAAAGTGAGTTTTCAGAAGAGATGTGAGTGTGTCTGCCTAAATTGCATGGAAAAAAGCATTTTCTCCAAAACCCATAATTCATAAACTGTTTAAACTTAAAATATTCCCCAATCTTCCCCCCCACTGACCCCTTTATACATCCAGAATTCCTGTTATGTGACTATCGAAAAATATATAAATCACCATCAAATCTAACTGATTGAAATAAAATGTTAAAGTAAGATCTTTTTGCTATTGTTAAACAGTGAATTCTGAAAAGCTGCGGTGTGGAGCGAGGCATAGTGTGGGTGCTAAAGCAGAGTAAAGCGACAGAATGAGCCAGGTTGCAAAAGGGAATTATACTCTTCCTGTCTGCCTGCTTTTCAGGAGTATATGGCCCTTAGCTCTGCTGATAAAAAAGCAAACCATATCCACAGCTAATCCCCTCATCGCTCCCCTAAATCTGCAGCAGAGACCATGTGACCACAGGAGTCTGGAGGAAAGGGAGTTAGGAGGACGAGAAATACAATTAGATAAAGAAGGAGGTGATGAAATAAGAATAGTATGAGATGCAACAGGTGGAGATAAAACATCTCCAAGGAAGCGTTGGTGTCTTATTAGTCTGTAAAAGTAAAATCCACTAGGTGTTAAAGGAGTAGATTGACAGTTTGGGAAATATGCTAACTGTTTCTGTTTTTGTTTTTTTTAATATCTACAACCGGTCAGCTTAGCTTGACATAAAGACTGAAGAAGCTACTAAACAGGATACATATTTATTGCTGTATCGATCCTAGTGAAGGCAACAGGTGGATTTATTTATCTTTTGTCACATTTCAACTGCATGCTGGGCACACTCCTGATTTGGTTGTCCATGTACTGACAAAAAGTTAAAGATAGTAGTTCGTATGGAAAGTGGGAAAAGGAAATCCTGAAAAAGCACCTTGTAACAAAATGCAGTTGAGTGAAATAAAGCCGTACCATGCAGGGAAAATGTGTCTTGAGGCTATTCAATATAGCTTCATATTTAATGGAGAGATATTAAAGTGTTAGACTAGGGTTTTACGGTTCTTACATATTGAAATGAAAACAACATTTCATATTCAAATAAGATCAAAACCTTTAGGTGTGTTCTTCAGGCTAAGGAAAGACTGAACTATTTTTCATCCTACTACTCTGAGAAAACACAAGTCCAGAATGTGCAGCCTTTAATCTCTGCATGTTTCTCAGGATTTGTCTGATCACCAACATGTTGTGACTACCTACTGTAGCTCAACACCACGCCATGTCCTTCACATGGAGCTTAGGGAGCAATCGGGTCTCAAATAAACTCCTCATCCCCGCCGGCTCCCATTCTGCTGAAGGTTCATTTCATGCTCCTTGGTGAGATGAGGGATCACGACAGACTGACTAACACAGAGTAACTGTTGAAGCCTGGAATAAACATGCAATCCCAAAATAGAAGTGTTTATTAATTCATGCATTATAATTAGCTGGACAGAAAACAGAGAAAGCACCTTGTTCAGATCGCCAGTCCATTACAGAAGCAGTGTATCAAAACACATGAAGCGTAGTGTTTGTAATTAAAAAAAAGAAGAGGAATTAGACACCATGAGTCAATCACTATCATCACAATCACACTCAATCCCCAAATGCAGCCTGAGGTCTGATTCCTATCTGTGCATTTCACAGCTCTGTGACCAATCAATATGTTTAAGCCCCTCAGCCCCTCAGCGAGTGAATACACTCAGAAGCTGCTCGCTTCCCTCCTGAAAGTCGTGAAATTGGCTCAGCAGCAAGCAGACGGTGGATTCGTCTGTATGTATATCTCCCTGAGTGTCAGGACCCAGCACATTTTATAATCAATAACCATAGTTGAAATTGAATGTAAAACAAAAGTTGTATTTGAAGTAGGGCTGGGAAATATGAAGGAGATAGATAGATAGATAGATAGATAGATAGATAGATAGATAGATAGATAGATAGATAGATAGATAGATAGATAGATAGATAGATAGATAGATAGATAGATAGATAGATAGATAGATAGATAGATAGATAGAGATAGATAGATAGAGAGATAGATAGAGAGATAGATAGAGGTAGATAGGTAGAGGTAGATAGGTAGATAGGTAGATAACAAATATAACGCAGGATATTATTGTGCAAGAAATTGATTATTCAATCCATTTATTGCACAATAGTATCCTGCGTTATATAAGCCAGTAGTAGAAATGTGTCCAAAGATACAGATTTGTTAAACTGTTTCCATCAAAGTTTTGTTGCTCACAATATTGTGAATTCAGCTGCCATGCAGATAATGTCATTTGGGCAAACGTAAAAGGTTTTGAAGTTGTAGATACAGAGCAGCCGGAGGATAAGGAAGCACTCTGGTTACATGGTTAACAGGCATCTGCTGCACACTGGTTTGTTTTGACAGTGTTTCATCAGCATTTTGAAAATTAAAAAGAGGAGCGAACCCTGCAGGGAAAGTATTTTTTTCTTTTGATATACAAAGAAATTGGTGGATATTATATATTGCGCCGAGTGAAGTCAGTTTGGTATTATTTGTACCTGTTAAACTTAAAAAAGTTGTATTGTGAGGTAAATAAAAGAAGAAACTACTTAAATGTGAGGAAGTATATGTTGATTTTAAACCATTTCTTTATTAAATTAACACAGCACTTACTGTATTGTGATATTAACCTTTACTGTTATATACAATTACATAAACACTGTGAAGAGAAGATATTGCCCCCGTCCGTTATTTAAACAATTTCAATTGAAACAGAAGCAACACACAGGCATAGAGAGATAAGATAAGATAAGATAGTACTTTACTGATCCGAATTTGGGAAATGTTTGTGTTGCAGCAGCATAAAAAGACATTGTACAATACAAATTAAAAAGACTAGAAATAAACAAGAAAGTAGAAATATACATATTGAATTTACTGTGTAGCAATAGAGAACCGCAGTGACGCGTCCTAAAACCCGGAAGTAAGTTAGCATTTTTACCACGTCCGGTTCCTTCGGCAAAAAGCAATGCAATTTCTCCATAGGATTTTGGAAAATAGCTGGAAATAAGGTCTTTGTTTGACACAAATTTAAGAGACGGATCACGTTTTGTTCTACGACATTAAATACATCAGCAGTGACCCCACTGGTGATTTCTGAAGAGTTTACGTGTCTGAAAAACGATGGTTGTTAACAAGTGGCTGGATAGGACTACAAAAGTTGTCGAGGCCGTTTTACGTCATTACACCGTAAAACACTCCCGCTAAGTTTGTTTGCCCTGTTCTGCTTGAAAGCAAGTACCTGCCTCCTGCAAACTGTTCAAGCAAACGCTTCAACTTGTACCATTTAGAATCTGTATGTTTGAATATGGATCTTAAGTTGGCGTGACGTTGAAGCAGCGACCCTGCTGTAGTTCGTTTATAGCATAACGTTAGCATTTTGCTTCTGGCAATTAGATTTATGATTCGAAAATTATAAAAGTAGGGTAGACATGTGGAGATTATCCGGCTGAACAAAACGTGATCCGTCTCTTAAATGTGTGTCAACCACAGACCTTATTTCGAGCTATTTTCCAAAATCCTATGGAGAAATTGCATTGCGTTTTTGACGAAGGAACCGGAAGGAGTTTACTTCCGGGTTTTAGGACGCGTCACTGCGGTTCTCTATGCAGGAGGAGTCACCGACTCAAAGGAGACACGGGGAGAGCTGGAGCTTTGATGCCAAACACTGATGGGTTTATTTGGAGCTTTGGCCGGAGACTTCACAAAACAAGTCAAAGAGTCAGAGGTTCTGACTTCACGGTAGAGTTGCCACGTCAATTCTGAAGAACTCTACCCCAGACCCATGTATTTAGCTAGTTCAGAGAGAATAATCAACATTGTGCATAACAAGATAGAATCATAACACCTCTATCAGCTGACGCCAACAGGCAGGAGCAGGGAGACAAAACACTGAGAGCACAGCAGCTAAGGTTACAGGTGCGTGTGCTCAGTCAGGACAGTATGAACTGATAAACTGGGTCAAAGTTATGGACCTTGGAAAATATTTCCCAAACAAATAACAAAATATAAAGCAAGTGAGCGAGTGTCTGCTGCTCTGTAACCATAAAGGCAAAAACCAAATCAATAAAGAGGAATCCATCCTAACCTCTGTTCACTCTCTGATTATTACCAGCCATAATAAGGTCGACCTGCAACTCACCAAAAGAAAAGACTTCCTGTGAAGTTGCCGTGACATTTACACTTAAGGAACTGCCACACTGAAGCAGGGAGCGTAATTGACTCCTGACTGAAATCACAATGAATATGAAGGAGTTTTTTGTCCTCCCATCTCCTTGACAGGTATCCTTTGTGCAACTTGAAAGGTGCTGCTGTTTTAGTGTCCATTAAGAAACCCAGGTAACGTCACAGACATCAAAAGTGCTTTTTAAGAAGTGCAGGACGGGCTCTCCTTTGGTGCCAGTAGTACTTGACGTTAATCAATCAATTACCAGCTCCTATTGTTCAACCAAGGGCTGAGGAAATTAACCAAACTAATATGGATGTGTGTAATGTAAGTGATAACAATATATCTAAAAATGATACT